AACATAATTCTGGCTGATATAGTATGTTTCTTTAACAAAGTGATATTTAAGATAAGAACCAAAGAATGATTAGAGAAAATTGTGAGGCTTACATGCATGTCATCAAGATTTATTGAGAACAAATAGGAAAAGGAAACAACCCAAGATTTAAAAAAATTAATTTTTAAAAATGAAGAAAATAAATTGATTGTAAGTATAAAAGATAAATTAATTAAGTAGAATAATAACCACAGATGATTTAACCAATAAAACATTTAAGTCTATTTGTCTGGAAAATTCAAGGGTATTTATTTTGAGTTAAACTGGTGAATTGGATATGCACCTTTAATTTACTTCATTTAAATATGCATTAACATAAAAGTGAAGAGCTATTTTCAAAAACATAAACTTACAAGAATGGAAAGAGTAATGTAGAAGACAACGGAGAATAATCTTAGTGGCTAGAAAGTAGATGAATGACTTAGTAGACTGACAACCAATTACCAATCCTGAAATGGGAAAAGCTGAGAACCAATCCTATTTAAACTTCAGGATACTCAGAAGCATCAGAGCTGTCAGCCTGAGATACTCTGGAAATGATGATAAGGTGCCAAACATGGAGGATCATATAAAAATTGCCTGAAAAGTGGTTTAATATGTAACAGATCACTTTTCCCCACTGCAGTCAAGAGCAACCTATTTCTCTGATCCTAGCACAAGTCTGGAGTTTTGATTTCTTATAACAGCAAAAAGGAGAGTCATTATATTAGAGGTTCCACTGGCAAAATTGAGGGCAGGGTAATATGGGTAGTGGAAATAAGTAACCATCTAAACATTGAGTGCTGACTAATATTAAAATGCTATGATAATCACTGGGACCAATTACAGACGTTTCAGTTCTCCTCTCAGACACATGGCAGAATTAACTTCCTTCCTTCCTTCCTTCCTTCCTTCCTTCCTTCCTTCCTTCCTTCCTTCCCACCTTCCCACCTTCTCACCTTCCCTCCCTTCCTTTCCTAGAGAGAGCGCGCATGGCGGGGTGGAGGGGGGCCAGAGGGAGAGAGAAAATCTTAAGCAGGCACCACGGAGCCTGACTTGGGGCTTGAGATCATGACCTGAGCTGAAATCAAGAGATGGATGCTTAACACACTAACCACCCAGGCGCCCCTGGCAGAATTTCAATTGTTTCCTCTTTATTTTTTTTTCAATTTACTTTCTCTTTAAATTATGTATGACCATGTAATTTCTTTTGGCCAATAAAATATGAGAAGAAATGATATAGGGGCACCTGGGTGACTCAGTGGTTTAGCGCTGCCTTCATCCCAGGGTGTGATCCTGGGGTCCCTGGATCGAGTCCCACATCAGGCTCCCTGCATGGAGTCTGCTTCTCCCTCTGGCTGTGTCTCTGACTCTCTGTCTGTGGCTCTCATGAATAAATAAATAAAATCTTTTAAAAAAAGAAATGATAAATATTACTCTGGGCTAAATCTTTAAGAGAGTGTGCATGGTTTAACACATTTACTTTCCCCAATATAGTGATCCTAAAAGCATAGGTGGAGACGGAGTCTCCAAAAGCCTAGATCCCTGACTGACCACTATAATGGCTCCATGCTGAACTTTATAGATATGTAGTGTAAGAAAGGAATCAACTTCCATTGTGTTAAGCTATGGAGATTTGGAGTTGTTTGATATTGAAGCCTTACCTAGTGTATCCTGAGTGATGCGGATCTCCACTACTCTTCTCCCATCAATCTTTTACATTTTCAATCTATGCCTTTTCCTTTTGGGTAGGAGATTTTTTAGACTTGAGTAACCTGGCCAGCTCAAGTGGAAAGACCTAATCAGACTGACACTGGGGTTTCCCAACCTCAAGCGCTTTCAATTTACCTAAGAGTACATATCAAAGTGGATAAGCCCTGCCAACGTGCTCAGAGTGACCACATAGCTCCTTAGTCTACCAAACTAAATTAAGAACAGACACCTGAATGAGACACCTGAAGAAAATTTCTAAAAAGAAAAACAGAAATGGGCAGCCCAGGTGGCTCAGTGGTTTAGTGCTGCCTTCAGCCCAGGGCGTGATCCTGGAGACCCTGGATCCAGTCCTATGTCAGGCTCCCTGCATAGAGACTGCTTTTCCCTCTGCCTGTGTCTCTGCCTCTCTCTCTCTCCTCTTTGTTTCTCATGAATAAATAAAATCTTTAAAAAAAGAAAAACAGAAACAAAATCCAAGCAAAGAGGAAAGGAGGTAATTGGATAAAACATTTGCAGAGAAGAAAACTTGAAAAAAACAACTATAATTAATACCATCAGATGAGAAAAGAAGTTATTGCATCTAAGAAATAAGTACAAACAGACGGATCCCTTGAAAATATCCTTTTAAAAAAGAAGGCTCTTTTAAAATACGAACATAATAAAGAAATGAAAATCTCAAGAAAAGCTTGAAGGTGAAGTTTAGAAAATATTCCAGGAAATATTACCAAAGTATTTGAAAATGTTAAACAGGAGAGAGAGAAAAAAGGATATTAGAGATCATAAAGAGGCCCACCATTTGATTTGTAGTAATTGAGAGTGAGAGAAAAAAAACATTATCCATGAAATAATTCAAGAAAATTTCTTTTTTTTTTTAAAGAAAATTTCTAAGAGCTGAAGAGAATTAGTTTCCTAGTAGAAAGGAATTATCAATGGATGAACATAAACTCAAACTAAGACACATGAATGTTTAATTAAAAAATGCTTGGCACAATGACAAAATACTACAAGAAATAAAAATACAGGTTACATATAGGAAGATCTAAAAGAATATTTGCCTTAGAGTTCTTTTTTAAAGATTTTATTTATTCATGAGACACACAGAGAGAGGCAGAGACATAGGCAGAGGGAGAAGCAGGCTCCCTGTAGGGAGCCGGATGCAGGACTCTATCCCAGGACCCCAGGATCACGACCTGAGCCGAAGGCCAAGGCCGACACTCAACCACCAAGCCACCAGGTGCCTCTTGCCTTAGAGTTCTTAACAAATACATTGGTTTAGGGAACTCACTGAAAAAAATTTAAAATTCTGAAGAAAAGTATTTCTAACCTAGAAATCTATAATCATATTATCAATCAAGTTTGAGGATAGACTAAAGATATTTTAATACACCCAAGGTCACAACAAAATTTAACTCTCATATACTCTTTCTGGAAACTACTAGAAGAAATCTATCAAAATGTTAGAGTAATCCAAGAGAGAGGAAGTCAAAAGAAACAGAAAAGAGAATATTGATAAAAGAAGTGAAATGAATCTCTAAATAAGGTTCAAGGATGATCTCAGGATGACAACTGTGTCTCAAGTGCAAACTTGCCCAGTGTGGAGCTGTATAACTCAAGAGACAGGCATTTTGGAGGATATCATCATCAAGTCCCCTGACATCAATTCAATGAAACTATTGTAGGATGTGATCTATTAAAGTCATAGAGTAAGCCAAAAAAGAGGAAGAAATAAAACCCTAAAAATAGGAAATCTAACCAGAATAAAAAGCAAAGAGAATTCCAAGCATGACAGCAAAGGAATATTCTAGTATGATAGCAATGCAGCACATGTAGAACAACCACCCAATTTAAAGAAAATGGTATCACAGAAGATATGGAAATGATTGTGTAGGAAACTGTACTAGAGTCAACAGAAATTATGAGACAAGTGATAAAATAAGTGGGGCACCTGGGTGGCTCAGTCAGTTAAACGTCTGACATCTGCTCAGGTCATGTCTCAGTATCCTGGAATTGAGCCTAGCTTCCTGCTCTGTGCTCAGTGGGAAGTCTGCTTCTTCCTTTCCCTCTCACAATTGCTCTCATCCTGCTCATGCTCTCTCTCTCTACCCCAAATAAATAAAATCTTTAAAAGAGGAAAATCAAGTAAAATGAAAAATCAAGGCAGTTATTAACTTCAAGAAAGAAAATGAGGAAGAAAATATAATAAATATACAACAATGTTCCCAATAGTAATGCATCTAAAGGAAAGCATGAAGGAGCCTTGAAAGTGTACAAGAGCTAAAACCTACCCAACATAATAAGCAGTTCAGTGAAAATGTCTAAAATTAATCAAAATACAGAATACAAAATAAGACAGAAGAGATAACTAAAAGAAATTAAAGTGGCTGGCTATTATTGGGAAGGGAGCTAGGAACATAAAGAAAGAAAGGGCAGAAATGATTGTATTTTATTCTAAGCCACTTAGTGCAATTTGATTTTGAACCAAATTCATATATTATTTTGGAGAAAAGATGCATATTAAAAGATCAGCAAAATAGAGACCTTGCAAGCCTCCCCAAGAATAAAAAGGAGACAAACATTGAACATTGCTAATAATGGGGATATACCTTAAAGATAAAAAATAGAATGAATTTTGCAAACCTAGAAAAATGAATGGATTTATAAAATTGAATACAAATTACTTTAAAAGTAAAATCTGGACAGATTGATAACCAAAAGTAAAATGGGAAAGATAGTTATAGATATACCACCAGCAAAGCCACCAAACAGAACTCATTTAAAAACTGGAGGAAGTTTTCTTTCTTTTTTTGTTAAAGATTTTATTTATTTATGAGAGAGAGAGAGAGAGAGAGAGAGAGAGAGGCAGAGGGAGAGGGAGAAGCAGGCTCCATGCCCGGAGCTCGACACGGGACTCGATCCTAGGACTCGATCCTAGGACTCGATCCTGGGACTCGATCCTGGGACTCGATCCTAGGACTCGATCCTGGGACTCCAGGATCACGCCCTGGGCCAAAGGCAGGCGCCAAACCACTGAGCCACCCAGGGATCCCCTGGAGGAAATTTTCTTAAGTAAAACTTAAGGAAGTTTTACTCCTGGTGGGAAGCCAGAGTTTAATTTCATGTTCCCAGGTTAAGAAAAACAACAAATTATTCTTCTACAAATTCAGACTATCAGAGGGAAAAGCTATGTAAACTACTAACATTATTGTGACCATTTGAGGAAAATGATGTAATAAAACCGCACAGACCCTTTGGGGTAAAAAAAAATCACTTCTGTTGGCAGTTGCTTGAATCTGCCATCTTTTGGTTCTATTCTTGAAAACGGGAACAACATCTACAAAACGCAAGGTGGCGCTGCTGGCTAAAAAGAGGGGGGATACTCTTACAAAGGAAGTTACAAATTCTACTGATCAGAGGAAAGCTGACAGACAAGAAAAGGAAAGGAAAGGGTGGTGATGGAGTTGGGATAAAGCATTGCTATTATACACCTCATTTCTAAGGATTCGGTTTCTGCAATTTCTGAGAACTGCTTGAGGCAGAGCAAACCGTGGTTTTGAAAGGTTGCTTAAACAAAGAATGGAGGCCATAGTGGCGCGTGCAGTGCAGAAAAGGCAAGTGTTCTTTCTTTGTGTGTTTTTGGGAGTGTCTTGGGCTGGCACAGAACCGCTTCAGTATTTTGTGGCAGAGGAAATGGAGAGGGGGACTTTTCTGGCCAACCTAGCAATTGATCTGGGTTTGGAGCCGGGGGAAGTATCAGCTCGGGGATGTAGAATCGTTTCAGATGAGAACATAAGATTTTTACTCCTCAATCCGCTTACTGGTGACTTACTTCTAAATGAGAAATTAGACCGAGAGAAACTGTGTGGCCCCATAGAGCCGTGTGTGTTGCCTTTCCAGCTGCTACTTGAAAAGCCTTTTCAGATTTTCCGTGCTGAGCTATGGGTCAGAGACATCAATGATCATTCTCCAGTATTTCTAGACAAAGAGATTTCCTTGAACATATTAGAAAGTACCACTCCAGGGGTAACATTTCTTCTAGAAAGGGCAGAGGATTCAGATGTTGGTATCAATAACCTGAGAAACTACACCATCAGCTCCAACATCTATTTCCATATTGATGTCCATGATAGTGGAGAGGGGAATGTTTATCCCGAATTGGTACTGGATAGAGTGCTGGATCGTGAAGAGGTTTCTGAACTCCGTTTAACACTCACAGCCCTGGATGGCGGCTCTCCGCCCAGATCCGGGACCACCCTAATACACATACTGGTTTTGGACGTAAATGACAACGTCCCTGAATTTGTACAGTCGCATTACAGGGTGCAGGTGCCTGAAAACAGCCCTGTTGGCTCCCTGGTTGTCGCTGTATTAGCTAGAGATTTAGATACTGGAAGTAATGGAGAAATAGTCTATGCGTTTTCGTATGCTACTGATAGAATTCTCAAAACGTTTCGAATCAATTCAACATCTGGCAAACTTTACCTTAAAGCAGAATTGAACTACGAGGCAATACAAACTTATACATTAACTATTCAGGCCAAAGATGGTGGAGGGCTTTCTGGAAAATGTACTGTGGTGGTCCATGTAACAGATATCAATGATAATCCACCAGAACTACTCATGTCATCACTTACTAGCCCAATTGCAGAAAACTCACCGGACACAGTAGTAGCTGTTTTTAGGATCAGAGACAGAGATTCAGGGAACAATGCAAAGATGGTGTGCTCCATCCAGGACGATCTCCCCTTCGTCCTGAAGCCATCAGTAGAGAATTTCTACACCCTGGTAACAGAGAGCCCCCTCGACAGAGAGAGCCAGGCGGAGTACAACATCACCATCACCGTCAGTGACTTGGGGACCCCCAGGCTGAAGACCCAGCACAACATCACCGTGACGGTCTCCGACGTCAACGACAACGCCCCCGCCTTCAGCCAGACCACCTACACCCTGCGCGTCCGCGAGAACAACAGCCCCGCCCTGCACATCGGCACCGTGAGCGCCACCGACAGGGACGCGGGCGCCAACGCCCAGGTCACCTACTCGCTGCTGCCGCCCCGGGACCCGCACCTGCCGCTCGCCTCGCTGGTGTCCATCAACGCGGACAACGGGCAGCTGTTCGCGCTCAGGTCCCTGGATTACGAGGCGCTGCAGGCCTTCGAGGTCCGCGTGGGCGCGGCCGACCGCGGCTCGCCCGCGCTGAGCAGCCAGGCGCTGGTGCGCGTGCTGGTGCTGGACGACAACGACAACGCGCCCTTCGTGCTGTACCCGCTGCAGAACGGCTCTGCGCCCTGCACCGAGCTGGTGCCGCGGGCGGCCGAGGCGGGCTACCTGGTGACCAAGGTGGTGGCGGTGGACGGCGACGCGGGCCAGAACGCCTGGCTGTCGTTCCAGCTGCTCAAGGCCACGGAGCCCGGGCTGTTCGGCGTGTGGGCGCACAACGGCGAGGTGCGCACGGCCCGGCTGCTGAGCGAGCGCGACGCGGTCAAGCACAGGCTGCTGGTGCTGGTCAAGGACAATGGCGAGCCGCCGCTGTCGGCCAGCGTCACGCTGCACGTGCTGCTGGTGGACGGCTTCTCGCAGCCCTACCTGCCGCTGCCGGACGTGGCGGCGGCCGAGGCCCGGGCCGACCCGCTCACCGTCTACCTGGTCATCGCCTTGGCGTCCGTGTCGTCGCTCTTCCTGTGCTCGGCGCTGGCGTTCGTGGCGGTGCGGCTGTGCAGGAGGAGCGGGGCGGCGTCGGGGGGTGGCTGCGCGGTGCCCGAGGGCCACTTTCCGGGCCACCTGGTGGACGTCAGCGGCGCGGGGACCCTGTCCCAGAGCTACCAGTACGAGGTGTGTCTGACGGGAGGCTCAGGGACCAGCGAGTTCAAGTTCCTCAAGCCCATTATCCCCAACCTCCCACCCCAGTGCCCTGGGAAAGAAACAGAAGAAAATCCTAACTTCCGCAATAGTTTTGGGTTCAACATATAGAGATCATAATTATGTTTGACATTCCATAAGTGCCACTTTTCATGCCACTTCCAGATCAATGTTATTTCCCCCAATTTGTGTGTATTTTAAATTGTATTCTGTGTACTTTTATATTTTCACAAATTCTACCCATCTTTCAAGTAAATGTTATCTTTGTGTTTATAATTAGATGGTACTTTTTCTGTAATCCAGGAGGCCTTAATGGGTAATTAGTTTGCCTCCTTAAGTAACAGCACCAAATCACTTTTGTTCATTGTCCTCTATCCAGTTGAACTTTCACCTACAATTATGCTTTTGGTAAAATAAACCAGACCACTTTCAAAGTGTTTCAAGTGTTCAAGTATTTCTTCATTTCATTTTTTTCTTGTGGTATAGTAATGAATACTATTCAGAAATATCATTTTTCTTCCTTTAAAATCACTGCATTTTTATTAACACTTTGAAATGTTTACTGCTGTTGAAAATAACACCTGGAAAATCATGTCCTTCTAAGAAAGGGCCAGAAGATCATTTTATTAACACCTCATCTTCATTCATCCTGGAGAGTGATTGTGAAGGCCCTTCAGTATTGTAGTGACCCAGAAAGTCTTGGAATATGAAGTGATAATTTTCCAGAATTCTTGTTGATATTACAAAGGTATAATATAATCCACTTGAATCCATCTGAATAATAATAACCAAACCTTAAAAAATGACAGCCCACAGAAAAATGTTGTTTTTTAAGGTTGTGTACATACATAATAGAAATGTTTTGTAGACAATTTTTAGCTAAGGTAAATTCTAAAATTGCCCATATTATTACATCCTCTTTAATTTTCATGTGTGGTTATGATCTACTAATTTGCTTTCATGACCCTATTAATGGGTAGCAGGCCAAAGTTTGAAAACCACTTTTCTCATATATATATATATATATATATATATATATATATATATATATATATAATTAAGAAGTATCAAAAGATAATCCCTTAAGGTTCTAATTTTTTTAAAAAAAATTCAAAATCATTGTAAGGGGGAAGTTTTGTCTCATACAGCACAGGCACCAACCAACTACCCTTTTTAAAAAAATTTTTTTAAACCAAGCAACTACTCTTGACTTTAGTGATCTAACATTACAGAATAAAAGGCCTTCAGTGTTGGAAGAAGAATTTTCCAGTGAATCTCATCAAAAAGCTCAAAGTCTTTATGTTGTGGAAGGAACCTATAGAGAAACAAAATGAGTGAGGCTATAGAGGGGAAAAAATGTGTGTGAGTAGTAAGCACATGAAAAATGAAAGGTGGGATTCCTGGGTGGTGCAGCAGTTTGGCGCCTGCCTTTGGCCCGGGGCGCGATCCTGGAGACCTGGGATCGAATCCCAGTCGGGCTCCCGGTGCATGGAGCCTGTTTCTCCCTCTGCCTGTGTCTCTGCCTCTCTCTCTCTCTGTGTGTGACTATCATAAATAAATAAAAAAAAATTTTTAAAAAGAAAGAAAAATGAAAGATAAGAGGGCAAGTGACATGATTGCTCTGTTACCTTTAGTGTCCAGTACCACAGACTAGAATCAATGCCACAAAGTGCCTCCTCAATATATTAAATTAACACCATAGCTGGGCTAGATATTAGTTAATAATGTCACGAAGTAGAATCTCTTGCTCTAGCACATCCCAATATAATCTAATGTTCGCACTTTATGAAAGCTGAGATTTCACTACCAGTTCTTCTGAACTTCATGGACTGATTAATTATTCTTTGAATGCAAGAAAATGGAGGGAACCAAAGTTTCTCCATGCAGGTAAATTAAGTTCTCATGTTCCATTTTTTATTTTTTTTTAATTTTTTAAAAGATTTTATTTATTCATGAGAGAGAGAGAGAGAGAGAGAGAGAGAGTGAGGCAGAGATACAGGCAGAGGGAGAAGCAGGCCCCATGCAGGGAGCCTGATGTGGGACTTGATCCCCCGTCTCCAGGATCACGCCCCGGGCTGAATGCAGGCGCTAAACCGCTGAGCCACCCAGGGATCCCATGTTCTGTTTTTTAAAATGGGACTAGAAGCAAATTCTTTCCCTTTAAATGAAAGTTGCGTTACATAGAGAACAAAATAGCACAAGAAATTTATAAATCAAAGTCAAGTATTAAGATTACTTCCTGTCTTTACTGCACTTAGTAGAGAAAAGATGATCACTAGCTTAAAAAGATAAAAAGCATTATAGCATCATAGCATGCCAGACAAGATACATAGACTACTGAAGGTGAAAAATAAAAATGGCCACTTCATGTACACCAGAATGGCCATAATCAAAAAGATAATAACAACTATTGGCAAGGATGCAGAGAAATTGCTGCACTGTTGGAAGGAATGTAGTGGCATATTCACTTGAAAACAGTTTGGCAATTCCTCAGAATGTTAAATATATTGTTACCTTATGACCCAGAAAGTCAACTCCTGTGTTATCTATTCAAAAGAAATAAAAGCATATCTCCACACATGCACAAAAACTATATACATGCATGTTCATAGTAGCATTACTCATAATATTACCAAAAGTGGAGATACCCCAAATGTCCATCAACTGATGAATGGATAAACAAGATATAGTATCTCCATACAATGGGATTGTTATTATTCAACACTAAAGTGAAATGAAGTACTGTAACAAACTACAACATAGGCGAACCTCAAAATCATTACTCTAAGTGAAAGAGACCAGTTGCAAAATATCTTACATTGTATGATCCCATTTAAATGAAATGTTCTGGACAGGCAAATCTATAGGGACTAGAAAGCAGATTAGTGGTTGCCTACAGCTGTAGGGAGGGTAGGGGATGAAGAATGGCTAAAGGGTAAGAGGTCTCTTTTTGGCATGATGTTCTGAAATTAGACTGTGGTGATAATTACACAAATCTGGAAACATTAAAACTCATTGCATTGTACACTTAATTTTTTTAAAGTGTATTTATTTATTTTAGAGACAGAGCACACATGGGGGGAGGGGCAAAGGTAGAGGGAAAGAATCTCAAGGAAACTCTGCACTGAGCATAGAGTCCAATGCAGGGCTCAATTTCATGACCCCTAAGATCAAAATCAAGAGTCAAAAAAAAATCAAGAGTCAGATTCATAACCAGCTGAGCCACCCAGGGGTCCCCTGGTGGCTTTAAAGTATTGTACACTTTAAATGGGAAAGCTCTATGGATGTAAGTGATATCTCAATAATGATATTAAAACACTGGTGGGAGTGGTTCTAGCAACCTGTGTCCCAAGTAAGGTGGGACTTCCGCCATTTATTGTAGGAGACGGAGAAAAGAGCAATTCAAACAGCTCAGGCAGAAATTTTTTTAAAGATTTTATTTATTTATTCATGAGAGACACAGAGAGACAAAGGCAGAGACACAGGCAGAGGGAGAAGCAGGCTCCATGCAGGGAGCCCCATGTGAGACAGGATCCTGGGACCCCAGGATCGGATCACGCCCTGGGCCAAAGGCAGATGCTCTACCACTGAGCCACCCAGGCGTCCCTCAGGCAGAAAATCTAACAGGTATAACAGCAAAGGACCAGGTCCTATTGCTTCAAGTTTTTCCAGATATCTGAACAAGAGGACTCGGGATTTGTCTACTTATTGAAAAAACTACATGTTTCCTGATTCTAATGGAGAGTGCCAGGTCTTCAGGAGCTCAGATGCCCAGATAGAAGTAACCAACCAATTTTCCTCAAATGTGTTGCTAAAAACAAATTTTGCTCTTATGCTTCAAATATCTCATTTACAGTTAAATTTAAGCCAATGCATAAAAATGAAACTGTATCAGCTGATTTTTTAAAAAGTATTTATTCATGAGAGAGACACACAGAGGCAGAGACAGAGACAGAGGGAGAAGCAGGCTCCATGCAGGGAGCCTGCTGTGGGACTCAATCCCGGGACAGGATCATTCCCTGAGCCAAAGGCAGACGCTCAACCACTGAGCCACACAGGGGTCCCTGTATCGGCCAATTTTATATCAAGGACTACATGCTGTCTGTGGAGGGAGAAGGTCAATTACCAAATGGAGCTGTAAGGGATGGCCCAGCCTCCCAGAGAGGATTTTCTTGAAAGCCATTACCAGTAAAAACCAAGTAACAGTTGAGGTTAGAATTCCCCATGAGAAAGGACATAAGGACATTTTAGCTGACAAACACTTGGTTCTCCTCATCTCCTTTCTAACTCAAGTTCTGCTACCACTCCCCATTCCACTAAGAAATAACATAGCTTCTCAGCCGCTAGGACACTCTCCTGTCCTCAATGTCAGGCATTAGAACCCTGGCTACATGCTGTATTTTTCACCACCCAAAATGGTTCTTTCTATGAAAGAATGATTTCAGATATCTCTGAGAATAGAATCCTCTGTGTCTTTAATCCCCTTATTCCGCTATTCCTATCACATCTTGTCTTTGACCTTATGAAAACCTCCATTCTACGATGCTGCTACTATATAGTAACCCCCCTTGTGCTCTCATTTCTCTCCTATTCAGCTGATTCCCTGGTCTGCTACTCCTAGTCACCCTCATGCACATATTCTTTATTCCCTTGTTCAATTTTCCTTTACTGAAACCACCCGATGAAACTCCACTCCAGATGAATATAATTGTCTCTTTCCTCTTCTGTTATGTCACTGGTGCTGCATTCTATAAGTCAAAACTTAGAAAATTATCAATACTATCACACTGAGTTTAACACATCTAAACTTAATTTAGCTTTGAAGACCAAGAAATTGTTTTGTATTTTCCTAATCAGCTTTCTCTTCTTTTCTCTGTAACAGCTACTTCAAACCTAGTTATCTTTATATTTCTCACCCTACTACTTACATATTCCCCTTAAGCAGATGAACTTGCTTAATACCTTGCTGAGAAAAATAGAGTCTATCAAATGGAAATTCTCTGAATTTTCTGTCCCCAAACCTACACACTGAATAGCATCTGTACTTATAATGACCTCTACCAAGGTCACTTTCTATGCAAGCCCGATCTCTTCATTTACTTTCTGGGGCCTATGTTTAACCACCTTTTAGGGGCTCCACATTGAATTAATCCTCTCTTTGGTATCTCACTTTTCTTCCTCTCTGTTGAATACTACAAATCAGCATTTTAAATAACTTCAAATCTCCCTAGGCTTTAAAAAAAAAAAAAACTATTGAGTTTCAATTTTCCTACAGATACCATCAGTTTCTTATTTTTCCAGCTAAATTTGAAAGGATTGTCATTTTTACTTCCTTATCCCTCTTGCTTTTCAACCAAGTGCCATCTGAGTTTCACTGTGACCACTCTGAAACTGCTATTGTAAAGGTGACTGA